AAGGGGGGGGGGGGGGTGGTTTAAAGGCATAATCCGGCAGAGGCCCGCCTTCCGTTTACCAGCTTTCAGTTCAGGATGTAAACATGGCCAATCACGGAGAAAGAAAGAAAGAAAGAAAGAAAGAAAGAAAGAAAGAAAGAAAGAAAGAAAGAAAGAAAGAAAGAGAGACAGAGAGACAGAGAGAGAAAGAAAGAAAGAGAGAGAGAGAGAGAGAGAGAGAGAGAGAGACGAGAGAGAGAGAGAAAGAAAGAGAGATAGAGAGAGAGACAAAGATAGAGACAAAGAGAGGCAGAGACAGAGAGAGACAGAGAGAGCGTTTCTCTCGAAGAACCTTCCCGTCTCTCTCAGTAGTTGTTTTAAGGCGGCTCAGTCGACCCGCTCAATCTCCGGGGCTCTCTTGGCTCTCCGGCGGGAGCCCCGTCTCCAGAGTAAACTTTTTATCCGAAGGCCAATCCGGACCTGCGCTGGAAATTCCCTGCTTGGAATTCCCAGAGATTTCTACAAGCTCAAATGCTGGGGAGCTTCAGACGCGGGATTTCCAGCGCTCGCCTGGTTTGCGTTCCTTGGGCTTTCACGGGGCTCCGTTGAGCGGACTCGACGCTCGATCCGCGTCCTCGGAAGCTCCACGCTTCCCTCCCTGCCGTTTTCTGCCCTGCGTGTGTGTGGGTAGCCCCGGCAATATCTCTCCCCCAGGGAACGAAGCATCAGGACAAGGGATCGTGGGGAACCGCAAGGCCGCCCCCCCCCCTTGCCTGCTCCAAAATGTCAGGACTGGGTCGCCAAGACACCCCCTTCCGCGGTTGCCCCCCTTTTGCTTCGCTCTAGAGTGTGGAAGGGGGGGGGAGAGCGATCCCTCCCCAGCCTTCCAGGCCGTCCTTTCCTCTCTCCAAGAGAAGCCGGGGACCAGGCGGAGAGCCCCGAAAAGAGGGGCCGGCACTCCCTCTGCCCGGCGATCCGCCATCGTCGATGGTCGGCCAGAGAATCGCAACCTTCGGTCGCCGGCTGCGGGGGAGGGGGGGAGAGAAGGAAAGAAAGAAAGAGAGGGAGAGAGGGAGAGAGGAAGAGAGAGCAAGCTCCCAGGTCTTGTGGGATCATCCGGGGGGAGTCTGATAGAGAGAGGGAGAATGGGCGGGGGGGGGAGCCGCGCAGAGCCCCACGCCGAAGCTCCTTCCCCGGACCGGCAGAAGGCACCCCCCTGCTCGCCTCCCTTACCTGGTCCCCGCCGGGATTCCGTTTCCCCGCTCCGCTGCCTGCCCCGCCGCGCTGGCGAAGCGGCTCTGTCCCATCCGACGGCCCTGGGGCCTGCTCGGGGCTCTCCGGGGGCGCTTCCCGGCGGCGGCGGCGGCGGCAGCAGAGCCGGCCCTCCGACGGCCCTCCCCCCCACCTCTTTCCCCGGCAAAGGGGCTGCTGGGCCGGAGGGCCGCCTCGGCGCAGCCTCCTCCCCCCCCTCACCAAATCCTGCCCGCAGCGCCCACCAGAAACGCCCATTGGAAAGGCTCCCTTTGTCCTCTCCGGTCCCCGCCGCCGGCGCAGGGAAGGGGTCGGCCCCGGTCCACCCTCCCCGCGCATGGGAACGTTTCATCTCCCCCCACCCCTCTTTCTCTCTCCACCGGAGGCTGAAGCGAACCAGATCTCCGCCTTCCCTCCCTTCTTCCCATCGGAACAAAACTCGGGGAGAGCCGAAGCCGGCGGCGATTTCCCGCGACGGAGTCCCGCAGAGGTGCCCGGCGGGCCGGATAGGCGTTATAACGCCGTAACAAGTATCCTAACCCAATAAGCATTACAGCGCCGGCTTTCTCTTCTCCTCTTGCCAACCTAGCAGTTCGAAAGCAAGAAATTGCAAGTAGATAAACAGGTACCACTTCGGTGGGAAGGTAACAGCGTTCCGTGTGCCTCGGTGTTTAGTCATGCCGGCCACATGACCACGGAAACGTCTTCGGACAGCGCTGGCTCTTCGGCTTTGAAACGGAGATGAGCACCGCAACCCTGGAGTCGGACTCGACTGGCTTTCGAGCAAGCGAAACCTTTACCTTTGCTCGAGGGGACGGCACTCCGAGGGCCAGGGGTCCCGGCAAAACCAAGCCCGGCCAGCTCCCAAACGACTCGCGTCAACCCCCGCAGTCAGCCCCAAACCGCGGGCTTCTCACCAAGCCCAGGCCCGCAGCCTTGAAGCCCCGTCGCTATCTATCCCCCAGTCCAGGCCGGCGACCTCCGACGGCATCCAGAGAAGGGGCCCCGCTTAGGCCTGTGCCGAAGGCGCGGCAGATGGACTCCCGTGTCAACCCCCCTGGAAGCCGTAACCCCGCAAGCGGCGGGCCCGAGAAGTGCTTGGGTGTGTCGTCCTAAATGAAGCGCTTTCTTTTAGGGGGAAGCGCGAGGCTGCGGTCACACACACACACTCGACCCAACCCGCTTTCAATCCACTTTCAGCGCCGTTTCCCCCTAGATTTTGGGAAGAGCATTGGAAGTGGATCGAAAGCGGATTGTTTTGTGTGTGTGTGTGTGTGTGATCGCAGCCCAAAGAAAGTCAGGCAATTCGGGAGGTGCGCCCCCCCCCCCCCCATTCCTCCTGGTTGACACCTCTTCTGCGCAGGAAGGGTGGGCGGAAATAACAGGCCGTGGAAAAGGATCGGCCCTTCATGATCGGCGTGTGCTGGAAACCAACTGGGGTCTTTCCCGGTCCGTATTTGTGTCCCCCCCCCCTCCTGCGCCCTCCAACTGTGTACCTGGATTCCAGCATTTTAATCTATCTATCTATCTATCTATCTATCTATCTATCTATCTATCTATCCATCCATCCATCCATCCATCCATCCATCCATCCATCATCTATCTATCTATCCATCTATCCATCTATCCATCTATCCATCTATCCATCCATCCATCTATCTATCTATCATCTATCTATCTATCTATCTTTCATCATCATCATCATCATCATCATCATCATCTGAGCCAGTTTGGTGTAGTGGTTATGTGCACAGACTCTAATCTGGGAGAACCGGGTTTGATTCCCCACTCCTCCACTTGCACCTGGCTGGATGACCTTGGGCAAGCCGTAGTTCTGATAAGAGCTGTTCTTGAAAAAGAGCAGTTTCTGTCAAAAGCTCTCTCAGCCCCACCTCCCTCACAGGGTGTCTGTTGTGGGGAGGGGAAGGGGATTGTAAGCCGCTCTGAGACTCCTTTGGGTTGTGAAGGGCGGGGTATAAATCCAATCTCCTCCTCCTCCTCCTCTTCCTTCTTCCTTCTTCTTCCTTCTTCTTCCTTCTTCTTCCTTCTTCTTCCTTCTTCTTCCTTCTTCTTCCAATCATCTGTCTATCTAATGTATCTACCTCGGCCTCTATAGCTCTAAGGGGTCTCGGCTGGACCGGCGGCTCTGCTGGAATCTTGCACGGAGCTTCGCGGGAGGGGGGGGGGCTGCCTTCCCTGGAAGGAGAGCAGAGGGGCGCGGAGTTATTTCTTTTTAAAATACATTAAAAAAAAATAAAAAAACAAAAACCCCAATCTCAGGGCCAGCCTGAAAGAGAAAGGGGGGAAGGCGGCCCCTGGAAAGAGACCGCGGCCGATCTCCCCTTGCCCGGGATTGGAGCGCTTTCTCCTGGCGGCCCCGCTCCTCGTCTCCCCCCCCGCGCACATCTGGGTCAGGCCGGGGCCCCGGGGGTGGGGGTGGGGGGGGGCCTCCGGCCGGCAACGACCCCATGGACCAGCTCCCGCCAGGCCCTCCTGTCTTCCGCCGTCCTCTGAAGTTGGCTCAATTTCATGTTCGTTGCATCGATGACACTTCGAGAGAGAGGGAGGCTGCCCCACCGCTGGGATCTGAGCCGAGGCCGGCCCCCAAAAGATGAAGCGCGGCCGGCCAGCGCGCCTCTGAGCCGGCGCCGGCGACCCGGGCGGGCTGCGCTGCTGCGTCTGCGGCTCCATGTAGGAGCGCCTGGGCGGCCGTCGAGGCTCGGCTCGGCTCGGCTCGGCTGCGGGGCTCCAGGCGGGCGGGCGAAGATGAGCGAGCGGCGGCGCTCGGCAGTGGCCCTCAGCTCCCGCGCCCACGCCTTCTCCGTCGAGGCCCTCATCGGCTCCAACAAGAAGCGCAAGCTCCGCGACTGGGACGCCAAAGGCCTGGATCTGTCCATGGAGAGCCTCAGCCCGGACGCCGACGACGCCGACGGGACGGCCCCCGCCCCCCCGGGACTCGAGACGACCCTCCACGCCGCCGCCGCCGGTGAGTCCGAGGCCTCCGAGGCCCCCGCGGGAGAGGGGGGGGACCGGTGACCCTTTGGGGCTGGGGGGGGGGCGCTCCCCGGGGACAACGGCTCAGCCCCTTCCGGGATCTCTCGCTCGGCCTGGCGGCTGGCGCTCTCCCTCCTTCTCCCCCCCGGAGGCCGCGTTCCTCGGAGCGGGCCGCGCTGGCCTCCTCCTCCGCTTCCAGCCCCGGCCAGGAATAGATCGGCCCCGCCGGCGGCGGCTATGAATAGCCCCCGCGTCCGAGCCGACCCGTTGCCCCCGCCCCGGGGGGGGGGACGACTTGGGCGGGGGGAGCCGAGCCGAGGGGCGCCTCTCCCGTCGCGCAGGGGCAGGATCGAGCCCTGCCGCGGTCTACTCGGACGGGGAGGGGGGGAACTAGGCGTGTGTGGGTGTGGGGTCCCGCTCGCAACCCGGCCCAGGGCACCGCTTTCAGCACCGCCTCTCCTCTCCCAGACCGGATCGAACCCTTTTGGAGTGCGGGGGGGGCCGAGACCGGCGAAGTCTTAGATGGGGGGTGGGACGGTGTGTGTGTGTGTGTGTCTGTGGTTATAAGAAAACCCCCCCCGCAGCTCCCAACTCCCTCAAGAGGCCGTTTCCGCGGCTGCTCCCGCCCTCCTTCCCTCCCTCCAGACGCTTGTCTGAATCCGTCGACGCGCAGGCCCGACCTCGGCGGGTGTCTTCGGCTGTTCGGTGGGGCGCGGCGGGGAAACCCCTTTCGGACACGGGAACGGGAACGCCACGTCCCCCCACCCCTCCCGAGAATGGATCCCGGCCCTCTCGCCATTCGGGAGCAGTCCGGGGCTCAAGGGGTTTCAGGAGCGCAGCCCTCTTGCCCACGGGAATGGCTCGGCGGCGGCCGATCGCCTCTGACGGCGCGGCCCGGTCCTTCCGCCCTCCGGACTGAGTCCTGTCCGGGAAAGAGATTCGGGGACTGCCGAGACAGCTGCGCCGAGGCCTCCGGAGCGAGAAATTCCAGGGGCTGGGAAATCCGCCGGCTGCCGACGTGCGCGTGTGTGTGTGTGTGTCCGTGTGCTGTACAAAAACGGTTGTTTCATAAATGCAACATTCAAGACAGATCTGCTTGCTGGGAAAAGAATTCAAACCCGGCGTGTTCCGAAAAGGCAACCCCCTCACCAACGTACGGCATTTAAAAATAACAAATACAAAAAATGAAATTGATCTCGCACGAGCTGATTTAACAGTTGAGGCAGAGAGAGCGACCGAAAGGAAAGGGAATTAGAAATGCGAATTATTTACTCGTCGTTTACTAAATCTTTACTAATCGTTTACTCAAGGCGCCCCCTTCGGATCCAGGCCCGCCCGGCGTCCCCAGACCTTCCCGCGGCTCCTTCCCGCCTGAATTTCGGGTTTAAAAGCTGGTTCCGATCCCGGGCCAAGGAAGGGCCCGACGGCGGTCCAGTCCCGGAGCCTGCGGGTTCCGTTCGGAAGAACTGGTCTCTCTTGCACGGGAAATCGCCCCGATTCACCGTCCCCCCAGAACCAAGAGGCGGAAGGCTCCAGTTTTCGGCCTCCCTTCTTTGGGCCGTTGCCTCTCGGCTCCGCGGGATTCGCCGCTGCACGTTCAGCCTCCAAATCGATTCGGTTTCTAAAAGTGTTTCGCAGCCCCAACTTCGGCGCTTTTCCTCGACGACAAGCCTCCTCCCTATGGATTCAGGGGGACTTACTCCCGTGTAGGGCTGGGGCCTGGAATCTCTCCCTCGCGCTGAATTCCATCGTTTCGATTTCGGCGTGGTTTTTATTCCCGATCGCCGCGCTCGCAAAACGCGTCGAACCGGAGTCGGCGCTTGTCGCGCTCCGGGTTCGGCCCTTTGCCTCTGAGATCCTGCTGGAAGCCTCTTTTGGATACGGAGTCTAAATACAGATGTTCTGGGGAACTCCTCCAGAAACAGCTGGCCACTGAACAGGAGCCGTTTCTGTGGACGTTTCCAAACTTTTCCTTCCTGCTCCGAATTTAAGAAAACCGAGAGTCGCTGTTTAAAATACACTGTTTAAAATACGCTGTTTAAAATACACCGCTCCGCTGGCCCAAATCAGGGCTATTTCAGAATCTCTGCCAAAGAGATTTGGTTTGCTTTTCGCTCCTAAACTGTTTGTCCGGAGGTGGAATCGGGATCCCGGAGGGAGAGAGGAGGCCCGAAATTATTTGAGCCGGACTCCGCGCCCAGAGGGACGGAAATACAGAGCGGACGAACCCCGAGGCCTCTAGGTGCCTTCGATCTATCTCGAGTCTCGACATATTTGAACCTAAAAGGTGGGTGGGTGGGGTGGGGGGGGGGGGGGGGAATCAACGACGACAACAACTGAAGGCAAATCTTAAAACCCCCCAAACGGAAGACAAATATGAAAACGAAAAACCGAAACCAAACAACAAAAAAACCAAAACCTCGCTGAAATTATAATTTAAAATCGCCCGGGTCGTTTTAACGCGACCGGATTGTGTGCGCCCGCGCGGGGTCCGTGTGTGTTTGAAAAGGATTGCCTCGTCCGCTTTCCCGCTGACTCTTTAGGGCTGTAACAGCTCGAAAATATTTAGGGCACAGCTTCAAATATTAAAAACGCAGCTGGCTCCGCTTTCCAACCTTCTCTTTGGCTGCAACAGGTTTTGCCCGCCAGGCCTGGGACCGAATCGCCCCGTATTTGAAGCTGCGCCCCCGCTGCGAAGGTTCCCGCTTCAATCCACAGGCGACTATTGAAGGCGCCCGGGATGAACATCGTAACGGTGTGGGGTCATTGGTGGCATTAGAACTCGGGACGCGTGGCGGTGTTAAAACTTGTCTGGGTGGCTAGTTCGTGCGTTGCGCGCGCTCTCGTGGGGATATTGTTATTCCCCATCTCCAGACCCGGGGAGAGGAGAAGAACCTCCACGGTGGTTGCAAACTTTCGCCAAGCCTTTCGGAGCTCTGGATCGGCCTCAGGGAGGGCGAAGGTGAGGAAGGCGTTTCAGTCTTTACCTAAAAAGGTCCGCCCTGCTCGGAGGAGGGTTGTTTTTTAACGCCTCAGTTTATTGCAGCTCCGCCTGATTCCCCCCCCCCAGTTGGTCAATTTCAGCCTATCCCCCTCCCCCGTTGGTCAATTTCACTGGAAATTGACCAGCTGGGCCATCAACCGAAGAGCGACGCTTCCTAAAAGCTACGGAGCCGGACTGTTCCCTCTAAGCTATGGAGTCTCATGAGCAAAAAATCTACTTTGCGCGCTACTGGCATTAAAGTTGTGAGCAAGTGATTTGGCTCCTGCATTAATTAGTTTGCTCTGGAGCCATCCTTCCTGAGCTGAGACAAAAATGTGTGAACTGGTGGATAAAAAACTGTGAGCTAGCTCACTCTAACTCAGCTTAGAGGGAACACTGGACTTGACCCTTTAAGGATAAACGACGCAACATCCCCCGGGGGGCTGGCTTCCTTTCGCGACTTCACGGGCTTCGCGGAGGCCGCCGGCCTGGCCCTGAGCTGGGGGAAAGCGCCGGTCTCTTCCCTGCTTTTGGAAAGTTCCGCCCCCAGTTAATGTTCTGTTTTACGAGACTCGCCTTTTTGATCCCACGCGGTGGATTTTTAATCGAGGCTTTTTATGGAGACGGTTCCCGGGCGCTTGTTTTCCACCGGGGGTCTGTTTCCAGGGCAGGGGCGCTCGGAGGCGAAGGGGACGGATAACTTGCTGGAAAGTTTGACCAGATACTGGTGCGCGCGAGAAGGGGAGGGGAAAGCCCCGGGGCCGAGCCAGATTTTATTGCCCTGTGCTTTCTTTAGAGGGTGGGGTTTTTTTTGGGGGGGGGGAGGAGGGTTATAAAATGTACCCTCTGACCTTATAATAAGCAGCTTCACCATACTGCGCCAGGGCTCTTCCTGCACTGGGAACTCAGCCCCCCCTTTAAACTTACCCCCCCTTCTGCGCCCACCCCCGCTTTTCACCCGCCATCTGTTCCACAGCAGTCCTGTGCAGGCAGCCTGCCACTGTGCGCACAGACCGGGGCACGGATCCAACGCCGCCATTAGAAAAGGCACAGAAGGGGAGATCTCTGGCTTTTCCTTTACACGCCCCCCCCACACACACACACACATACACCCTGGGAAGCAAAGTAGGAATGAAAGGGCTCCAGCTCAGCCGGGCCCAAGTGGGGGAATTGCTGACCCTGCCAAAACAGCATAGGGTGATGAGGGTCCTAACCAGTGTTCCCTCTAAGCTGAGTTAGTGTGAGCTAGCTCACAGTTTTTTAGCCTCCGGCTCACACATTTTTGTCTTAGCTCAGGAAGGAGGGCTCCAGAGCAAACTAATGTATGCAGGAGCCAAATTGCTCTCTCACAGCTTTAATGCCAGACCAGTAGGCTCACGAAGTAGAATTTTTGTTCACAAGAGCCCGCAGCTTAGAGGGAACATTCCTGACTCCTGCTCAAGGCTCCCTCTAAACTGTGGCGTCTTGTGAGCAAAAATTCTACTTGGTGAGCTGCTGGCATTCAGGCTGTGAGTGAGCGACTGGGCTGCTCTATATATTGATTTGCTCTGGAGTCCTCCTTCCGGAGCGCAGACAAAAATGTGTGAGCTGGAGGCTACAAAACACTCTCTCAGCTTAGAGGGAACACTGGTCCTGGGAAGAGAAGGCCCCTCTGCCTCCGCTGGTGCTGCCTTTCGCCAGGTTTGCCCGTCCCCTCTAGGTGCTCCATCCAGGGTTCGCACTGAAGGCAGGCTGGCCAGGCGTCCCGTAACCCTGGGACCCTCTGCGCGATTACGCCCTTCCGTAGGAACCACTGGGGTTGGGTTCCACTCCCTCCAGGACATGTGAATTGTCCAGGAATCCTCTGAGAATGGAGGAATGTACTCAAAAGAGGGCTTTACCCAGCAAGCCAAACCTGGTGTTTAATGGTCACTGGCTTGGTGGAGTCGAGTCTCCGGGCCTTCCTGTCTGGCCGCATTGACTTGGAGGTACAGTCTGCTTGGAATCGGGGCCGCAGGCTCGGAGGCCGAATCGATTGCGAGCATTACCCCCCCTCCCCCTTTCCTGGATTAGTTGCCATCGGGCCTCTGTGACAAACGCCTGTTTTCCAGCTGGCTACAGGGCCCACCACAGCATAAGAGTGCAAAAACGGAGGCTTCCTTACACAGCCAGAAGCTCCTTCGGAAGTCATGGGCAATGCCCCCTCTAAGCTGTGGAGTCTTGTGAGCAGAAATCCTACTTTTGTGAGCTACTGGTGTTGTGCGCCAGCGATTTGGCTACTTGTTGGGTGATAGTGAGATATTGAAAAGAATGGTATTTAGCAGAGATAAGATAGTCCAGCAGAGCCAGAGTAAGATAATTCAGACAGAGAGTCCATGTGTGATTACAAATATAAAGTTTTTACTAAATTCTAGCATGGGAAGGGTAACTGGGATGAAAATAACAACAGAGCTAAATCGCCTACATCCTTACTCTACAAAGACAAAACTAGAAGAGAGAGTTATGGCTGCTCTTCTTGTTCTTCAGAACACCAAAACAAAGACGGGAAGAGAAGCCATAAAATGCTAATACACCTTGATTCCTAGATCAGGGAGAAAATTCCCCGGCATCCTGAAAATTCCCGACATTGGTTACATGAGAAACATGTGACTTCCTGTGAGTAACATAAACAAACATTTAACCCCAGATATACTGAGTGTTTTCAACTTGTAATATCCAACACTACTGCATAAAATTAGTTTGCTCTGGAGCCCTCCTTCCTGAGCTAAGACAAAAAATACGTGAGCCGGAGGCTAAAATACTGTGAGCTAGCTCACGCTCACTCAGCTCGGAGGGAACACTGGTCATGGGTCATCCCTCCAAGGAAGGTGCTCAGGGTTGGAGAGAAGTCCAAGGGCCCCTCCGCCTGTACTTATGTGGACATTGATCTGGTGATTTCCAGAGGCTTTACTTCCAAGCAACTTTCCAGTGTCCACCATAAACTAAGCCACTTCGATTTATCTGGGCTGAAGGCCAGACTGTAGATCCATTTAGGGGTAATCAGACAGGGATGGTGGGAGTTCTCTCATAATAACTAATTTACTGATATAGAATAATGTGAAAAACAAGAACTCTACAAGTATATTGTTTTACTAACTCTTTTAAAACTAATATTAAGTTTAACATAAAGGGGGTCTCCCACTCTTGGGTTTTTAGTTAGTGTGGGTATCTTTCCTTTATCCATAGTTGTAGTTCCCCTTCCTATATTTTTTCTTTGCAGTTTGTAGTCTTATTGAAAAAATAAAAATACCCCTCCGGGGGTTTAAAAAAAGAGAGACAGGGATGGTGGGAGCAGCCTGAGGCATTAGAAAAGAAATGGGCCGTGAGACTCCCCACCCTGGCCTCTGGGGGATATTTTAATGCACACTCTGAAGTATTACAATGGAGGTCAGGGTGGAGATTCAGTGCCTTTCTTTTTCTCTCTTATCATTTGAGAGCAATTTAGCGGAGGTTCAATAAACTTGCAGCTCTTTTCAATAAACTTGCAGCTCTCATTAGTAACGTGGTTTTCAGCGAGGGAAGGCGGCGCCGTATAGCCCGATCCGAAGCTAGGAAGGGTCAGTACTTGGAAGGGAGGCTGCCAAGGAAGACTCTGCAGAGGAAGGCCATGGCGAACCACCTCTGCTTCTCACTTGCCTTGAAAGCCCCTTGCAGCGGTCACCAGAAGTCGGCTGCCACTTGACGGCACTTTGAACACACCCAATGCGGTTCTTGTGCCATTTTGTTAGAAGAAAAGTTAACAAGGCCCAGCGAGAAGCCCGGCTGTTAGGAGTGGAGGAGTTCCGACTGCCGCTGGCCAGTGTGAGCTGAGCCGCTCCTGTGGTGCTGCCGGAGCTCTTGGGGTGGAGCTCTGCTCAATGCTCCCTCTAAGCTGTGGCGTCTTGTGAGCAGAAATTCTGCTTTGTGAGCTGCCGGCATTAAAGTTGTGAGCGAGCCATTTGGCTGCTGCATACATTAGTTTGCTCTGGAGCTAAGACAAAAGATATGTGAGCCGGAGGCTAAAAAAACGGTGAGCTAGCTCACACTGACTCAACTTACAGGGAACACTGCCTCTGCTCATTGCGGACTGCCCAGCAGAGGCCCAGCAGGTTTTTTTAGCAGGAATTCTCCCTGTAAGTGAAATGGCCAATCCACTCCTTAGACTGAGCAAGTGGGGACCCACAATGCTTGTGGTGGATCCCTTCCTCCTCTTATCACACCCCCCATCACCGTGGCTGCTGCTCCTGGGCCTGGTGAGGAGGTAAGTTTGTACGTTGTCTGGGGGAGGGGATTTACACCCCCCAAATTTAATTTTTTAAGGATTTCAGGTTTTTCTGCAAACATGGGAGATTCCCCAGGTTTGCAGAAATATCTGTTTTCTTTCCGTGTGCCCCCAGTCTGCAGATTTAGATATCCGCAGATGGGGGCCACATGTGGCTATTCGTATACAGATACACTGAAAACTTTAGCTATGGGGGACTGTTTTATTCTTTAGACGTCGATCTTATTCTGACTCTTTTCTTTTGGGCGGTGGGGGCTTGTGTCTGTTGACTCTGTCGCGCTCTCATGTTGCACCTCGCCACCGATTCTCCACATTTTCCCTCTCAGCTACACGGCATCTCTCCTCTGTGTAATGGTCTCCCTGGGAAAGCTGTAAAATATAATGGGGAGTGGGGAAATATGCTCCCCCTCACGAACTGTTTGGAGTCAGTTTGGTGTAGTGGTTAGGTGCACAGACTCTAATCTGGGAGAACCAGGTTTGATTCCCCGCTCCTCCACATGCAGCTGCTGGTGTGACCTTGGGTCAGTCACAAGTTCTCTCAGAGCTGTTCTTCCACAAGCAGTCCTCGAAAGAGCTCTCTCAGCCCCACCTACCTCACAGGGTTTCTGCTGTGGGGAGGGGAAGGGAAAGGAGATTGTAAGCTGCTCTAAGATGCCGAGTGAAGGCCGGGGTATAAATCCAATCTCCCCCTCCTCCTCCTCCTCTTCTTCTTACAAACAAACAAACAAACAAATACCTTTATTGGCATAAAATATTAAACAGTTGCCATAGGGTAAAACAATCCTATAAAATTTGTGAAAAATAGATAACTTCTAAAACATTACAAAGGTATGTCTATTTGTATGAGCTTAAATTATAGCCAAATAAAAATTTTCCCAACCGCAAAACCTTGAATTAAATTATACAAACTCATTGAACTCAATTAGAATGATCAGGGACATTTTTTCCGTTTTATAAGACCATAAAAGAACTTGGCAGTCAATTCAATAATCTCCGAATCTCGAGAAGTAAGGAGGTAGTGTAGCTTGCTTCCGTCCGGTTGGCATGCTACCTTGCTAAGGGGGACTTCCAGAAATTTCGCTCGAATGTCGTTTAGCAAATTACAACGTAGAAATACATGCTCAACTGTTTCTATTTCTCTCTTATTGCATCCGCAATATCTAATTGCATAAGGGATTTTCTTATATCTCCTCTTCTTCTTCTTCTTCTTCTTCTTCTTCTTCTTCTTCTTCTTCTTCTTCTTCTTCTTCTTCTTCTTCTTCTTCTTCTTCTTCTTCTTCTTCTTCCTTCGCAGTCCTTGCAATGCTACAGGATCTGCCCAAACTAATCTCTTTTGCTCTTCGGCCTGACGACTGGCCTTCAGCTGCTGCGGGAAGGATATTTATAAAGCTGACTGCCCTCCTGCCTGGCCTCTGGCACTTATCCCCCCCCCCCCAATCCCAAACTGG